ACCTTGGTGATAGCTTCGTTCGTTGAACAACTTCAGAAAATGAGATATTTCTAAAAGACGGTCGTCATTAGCATTTTCGCTGTTATCGACCAAACGCAAAGCTCCCAACGCAACGCAACCAAAAGTTCCCCGAAACGATTTCTGGTAATGATTGAACCCATAATTGAATGACCACTAGAACGAGTGCCGGTTGTATAATAAAGATCGATAGTCACTCAATGTGGGCAGTCTTACCAAACTCATTTGAAGGAACATTCCTAAAGACTTATAATTTTCTCTTAGAAACTTCAAAAAAGTCATGCTGGACCATGAAGTCCACATGTGGGCTGCAGTCGCAGGTGGACGAAAAGCGCGCCGGTCCCTCGCCCTTTTCCCGTAAAACGTCGTGGTCGTCAATGGGTTAAGAAGCTCATTTCCATTTGGATTCAGAAAAGGGCTCTCTTTGCGGCTCTGGAAATTCGCGTAAAAATGAATTTTATCACAAAAAAACTCAGAAGCTTCTCCCCGGTTTTTATTGTATACCAAGTAGCAGAAGTAAAAATATACAAGTTACGAGAGAAAGGCTGAGCTATGAGTACCGATGCAAAAGGTAAGTTCAGGTCAACTACGTGGACTGACAATTTGACAACAAAGTTCCTAAGCCATTGAGTTATTCTAATCTTCTGAACTGCAGAATGGAAATAGGATAAAATAAATAAATAAGTAAAATAGTAAATAAACAAAAACGACAATAGAATAGCATTCCTATACATAGAGCAGAAGTCCGTTTCGGACAAATGATAGGATTCAAGAAGTAAAAAAAAAGAAGAATTATTCTAAAAGTCGTGTATTAACGTTAGTTGGCTTTGAATAACAACAAAAATTCCACAGTGAACCTTTCTTTCCATGCAAGTATGTGACTCCATTCACATTTTCCTGCTATTTTATATCTCGACAAATACGGAACCAATATTAAATTGAATTAAACTGTCCAACAGAGGGTCCGGTATCTTATCCCCGAACACGGCGTCGCGTTCGCCGCACCCGCCGCGTACCGCAGAATTGCGATGGAAGATTGGAGCACGCAATTCGTGAGTTGGGGAGTCCTTTGATTATATGAATTTGCTGGCCACTCCCTTCAACTCCAATGCGGTCCTGATCATTTATGATAGAGGAGTAGTCATTCCAAACAATCAAGCCTATTAAACATAAAAACGAAAAAAAAAACAGAAAAAAAAACTATCAAAACTAACCAAAAAAGAAAGGCAGTCAATGAAAAATCGTGCGTCTTATCGATTGGCGGGAAATCGGTATGAGTACGGTAATTGCAGTTTGAAGCCGCGCGACAACTAAAAAAGATTTGCCGCATGCCGCAAAGCGAACGTGAGAAATCGGGAGAAGTTCCGTCACACTCTAACGGACTAACAACTAAACTGAGACCGACATCTGAGCATCGCTTACTCAGAAAAATCTCAGCAGTAATCTGACGCTAGATTGAAATAGTACCTTGAAACTTGCTAAATGAGCTTTTATTTGAGACAGTCACCATAACGTTCTCACTTTATACTCGTAATCTATTTCGTTTCAATCGACAATCATCTCAACAACGTAAAGAAATGCTATACAGGTTTAACATATAACTATTGCAATTTCTGTACACTAATACAACCGATGAACAATAGTACAGAATGATTACTTCGAATTGAATTATGACCGAATGGTTGAAGATGACACGGTGATGATAATTATCTCCTTGCGATGCGCTATACAATGTTTGCCATCAGTAAAGCTATAAGCCTAGGAGCTTCAGAGGCAAGCCTAACGATGAAAAGTCCTATTTACTAAAAAGGCACAGTTCACGACAATTCTGAAGTACCATTTTAGGCAAATGTTGGTTCAAAATAGTGCATTGATAGCGAGGAAAGCGAGAAAATTGGCAGAAGTCTCGAAATATGTCACCCTCAAAACCATTACATAACCGGAAGGGTTGTTACACGACTGGGGCCAAGAGGTATTTGCACGAGGTTTCAGTCGTGTGCAAATGTGTTGAGAGCTGGCTGCTGCCAAAATTGTTCTCCTTCACTGCACGAGCAGGATGATCAGCTGTTTGAATTTCCAATATTTGTTTCCCATGGTGAATGGTTCAGTCTCTACAGGGCCATCGCACATGGCCATTTTCGGGTATCAGTTGGATCACGGAGCTAACGCCGGATTCTCCTACTTTTGTGTGAAGTTGGCCTGTTCCTTTCAAATTTGTACGCTCCCGTAAAGGAGAACAGGAGGAGCTCCCGGCTAAACACCCACACCCCCGACAAACTTCGTGAGCGCCTCGCCTGTCATGAGNAGTCCTGCCCAACTCATGTGGGTTTGAGGTACTTGCTCTCTTCCTTCAACATGACCTCCTCAGATCTACTCAGACTGCACTCATTTCACGGTCTATGGGAACAGGAATTAAGAATTTCTGTTCAAAAAATGCACGCGACACCCATACACACATCAACAGACACTCTTATGTATAGTAGGATACCATTAAAAATTATCTTTTAATAGTGTCCTACTAAACATTTATTGACTCTATTTAGACCTTTCCTAGACCTTACATCTTTAGGGTAGCTTAGGACTCAGGAATTCGACCGTGCAGGAAACCTCAGGAATCATTTTTGTCGTGAACTGTGCTTTTAACAGAGAAAATATCGAAAACTACACTTCACTTCCTAGGAATAGCAATAAAATAAAGGCATTCAGTGGGAAGTAATGAAGGAGAGTAGGTGGGGAGAAGAGTTTTTGTTCAGACAGACAGTAAAAATTAAATTATTAGTACAAATTTACAAAATCCAAACCAAAATTAATCTATCGGATAGGATCTCCTTCCCGCTTTGAACAATCTTTCTGCATTCTCATCGTACTCTTGACCATGCCCATTACGCTAGCCCTATTATTATGGTGGCACAAACCGTAATATTAAGTAGCTGAAGCTCGATGTAAGTGTATGGTAGTGTATCTACGATTAAATAGAGATTATTCGTGACCCGNCGAAATTTCAGACAATACTCTCCTTGCTGCCGAACTCCTGTTTGCCTGTGTCCCTCTTTCGTTGCATGATTGGACTTCGCGTTTCTGGTGCTTCAGAGTAATTCATCGTCAAACATTCTGGTATCATCAGCTCATTCCAACCCCATGCCCATAGGTCCATTACCTGAAACCGGCAAATGGGCTTGAACGAACAGTGCACAGCGTGAAAGTTGGTTTGTGAAGGATTGCACCAGAATGGGGGCTCATTTGCTGTACACCTCGACTATGTGACGAGCAAAACGTACATCAAAAATGGGTATAAAGCGAGCCACTCGTCTGAGTTCTGATCCCCTCCTAAGCGCAACTCGTTGCTAGTTGTCTCCCCGCCAGCCATGTCTTGGATAGATGTCTCACCGGCGCCACGCTTTTCGATACTACCGCCCGTCACTTTTTTCACATGAAGAAACGCAACTACTTCTTACCTCTCTTACGGTGTTTCAGCATGCATAGTAATTCTAGATGGAGTTCAAGGAGATACCACCTTCAGTGACACGGGTGATGGATTAAAATGGTCATTTTTGATATTCTGCTGTGCTGCTGCGCCTATGTTTCAGATAAAATAGAGCAACTCACATGAAGAAAAATCGTCCTGATAGCGCTGTTCATTTGTGGGTCGTCAGAACACATTTTTGAGCGAACTTTCACAATCAATCGATCGACCAGGTAAGGGTTCAGGTTATACAGCGTTGATCCGTGCTCCGACAGTAAGGTACCCATCAGCTGAAACCCGAAAGATCAACACTTCTATCCGAAAAAAAAGATCGGACGGGTCAGAACAGCCCTCGAGTGGTTTATGCTTTCTGAGTGCGATGATCTCTGCTTTCGTCAAAACTTGGAACCCGTCCAATCATAATTATGAAAGTGAAAACGTATGAAAATGTGTAACAGCCGAACCCACAAATTGTTGCAGCACCTGCCGCGCGGTGCCACGCGTCGCGTCTGCGGTGACTGTTCTGACCCTTCCCTTCGATGAACTTACTTCCAGGTCTTCTGAGCTGGGATGGTCGTCAACCAAGATTTCCAGACATTTGAACATTGGTTTCACCAGACATCTGGCCACACAGCCATCGATTTTGAGAAACACAGTGTACATGCTAAAAAGGTAGTCTCTTAGTTACATATAAACTCAGTTGATATCTTCAAAAGTGAAGGTTCAGAAGATTACTCACTCGAACATCGCTTTTACGCTGTTACGGAACATAAGCGTTGAACGACTTCGAACTTCCAATCGGTTACGATAGTCGTTCAGCAGCAACGCCAAAACACACGACGACAAAGCAAGACCAGAAGAATTTGTCTGTAAAAACAATTCAGTTGTAAAGGCTAAGGATTAACTGTACTTTTTAATTATTTTGACCCCTTTTTTATATTTCATTATCTTTTTATATTCGAAAGCACAGTTCACAATAAAAACGGTTTTGAGGCCGCTTTCTAGGATTAGACTGTGATCCCCAAGGATAGTACAATGAACGCTTTCGGATTGAAAAACGGCCTAGATAGGACCACATAAGCGGCGTAGCCGACGTACTCCCCCGAGGTGGACGTGTTCTCAGGCGTTACAGAGGCTGTAGGGGTTGTGCCATTCGCACCAAGACACACGCGTTTCATGCAGGCTGCTTACTGTAGCCAGCTGCATGCAGTGGCACACACATTTGGACGGCTCGTCCAAATACCCCTTCCATGCAACTTCTGTCGTCATATTCTAGCCAGCCCGTAACTCTACTTTTTCAAAGCCTTCTATCTCTCTGAATATGCCGATTTTGGCATCTTCTTCGCCGCTTTTGCACTATTATGGACTATCAATCCCATTACTCTTCAAAAACTAGATAACCCAGAAATAGCGTAAGCCGTACCTTTCAGATATACCACGTTTTCGGAAGGGCAATCCATCAATTGAGGCAATCAAGCCCCGTCAGCTCCGCCTTCTACCCAGGTCCGCGCCTCCTAGGACAGAACTAGACACTCCAGCCTGCCAATTTATGTGAGCTAATTGAATACGTAAATTCCTAGACAAACTTAGTTTTTCTGTTACAAAGCAGCTGTTTGAGACCAGAAGCTGAGCAGATTTGACTATAAACTCTCACAAAGTGATGAGTCACTTTTCCCACTCGACTAGCTTTACGCAGAAGGTCTCTATGCGTTAGGGCCGATTCTCTGGCATACGTATTTCCCAAAAAGAGAAAAAAGGGCTGCCTCATTAGAATAGGCTAAGTTCTTACTACTAACCTTATACTCAACTTTCTCCCCCAAAACTCATATCGATACTGCATTATAGAGAATCACCAAGAATGAATGTGAATACACTTTGACTTCAATTGTTGTTGTGAGGAAAAAAAAAGCGAAAAAAAAACTTCCGTAGAGCAAAAACTAAAAAAAAGGCGTACCTTTCTCACGTGCAGGACTATGTCAGATGCTAGAGGCGCAAAACGGCTATCAGCTAACCATTTCTGATGTAAGTGCTCGGCTAGCGCTTCTGGTGAGTGATTGTGAACTAGAACGCTGTAGGCTTGCACTAAAATCATTACATCGTCAAGAAATTCGTCAAGTGGAACTGTACGCACACTGTTGACAACAAAGCTGTACAAGAAACCCTTGTATGAGTCACTGAACCTGAGATATGAAATACTGAATCACCACAGTATACGGGTGTGCCAGGATGCGCTTCGTTCCGCGCGTCCGTCGAAACTAGGTCACGCCACAGCTGTCGCATGCGGCGGATCAGCCCGCGACACTTGTCGGACGTCGCAGTTGTCAGTGGGGCATGCGATTGGCGCTTGCTCCACGGCACTCACACTCAACAGAAGATAACACGGACTAGTGCAAATAATTCGCTCCATTAACAGTGGGCGGTACCGTAACACCATCTTGAGATCGCAATGGGCTGCGCCGCGAGCGAAGTGGGCAGGGTGACCTAGCTTCGACGGACGCGCGCAACGGACGTTCCCCGGCGTGCCATTGCCGAAGCACGCCGTTCCCTTTCTAATGATTCCTTTGATCCCAAGGCACCACGAAAAAGGAGGCGTGGGAGCGAACCGAGGGATGACGGCCTTGTCCACCTGTGGACTTTACTCTCTTCCTACTCGATGTATTCTGTAATCAATCGATATGTTTTACATGCTACTGTAATCTTACTAGTCGTACATACAAATGAACTGCTACTGAACGTTGCTGTTTGCAGCAAGATGAGGTGTGGCGTATTAACGACAGCTAGTAAATGGGACCTAGACTCTTACCAAACCGGGCTGCGACCAGAGCTGCTTTAGAAAGATGATGATGACGAAAGCACTGTAGGGTTATAAGACTTTTTTAAAACCTGCTGCCAAGATGTTAAATAAGTTCTTATCAACTTACGTTTCGGCGTAATCGCCTTCTTCAGAGCCTGGAAACCTGTGTATCAGCCTGTCTGTGTATACACAGGTTTCCAGGCTCTGAAGAAGGCGATTACGCCGAAACGTAAGTTGATAAGAACCTATTTAACATCTTGGCAGCAGGTTTTAAAAAAGTCTTATAACATTAATGCAAAGCTATACCAAGACTCATCGAGAGTCGAACATGGATACTATAGGGTTATTGCTTCACTTATGTTTCTGCCGTAGTAGACCGGTAACGAGTCCAAAACATATTCCATTCACAGTCTCCCCTTGCCATTGCTCAAGAACCTTCACCCCCTTTGCCAGCCATTGTATGTATGACGTGTATGTAAGCCTTCACGCCTCCGTACATCATCGATAGTGATCCTTTCGGAACGGATATTCACGACGATGCGGGCAGACTATGCTACGACACCAGAACGTACATACACGGGACCATTATATGATAAGATAGCTAAATAATAAGGTCCAATACAGACTACTACAAAAAATATGTTCGTTTCAGCTTTTCTTCTTGTACGTTCAAAGAAGTGACAAGTAAGTTGCCAATCGCTGACCAGGTATTGGCCCTTGTTGTGCTAATGTTGCCAATGAACTGAATAGTTCCCGAAGTTGTTCGTCATCCATCTGATCCTTGTAGATCTGCTTGCGATCTTCTAAGCGTTCGGGACTCTGGAAAAGGTCCAAGTAGGAATAAAGTCCACGTCATAGCGCTTTTGATGAAAAGATTTCGAGAAATGATTTTGAACTAATATTTTTACAATTGAAGCACGAGCATCTAGCAGTAGCAGGTACCAGTACGTAAAAGACACGAAGCAGTACAGAAGCCCAATCCATTGAATTCATTGGAAAGATTTGCACGTCTTTAATCAGAACATAAACCCAAGTTCTGCGGAATGAACTAGTTCTATGGGGGAAACGACCACGTTGCCCTTGCGCTCCGAATGGGAGGTAGTCCTGGTCATTGGCCTCGAAGCTGCTCACTCCGGTGGAGTTTCCTTTGAGGTAATTTCAATGTATTAAAGTCTAAAGGATAAAGCCTTGGAGTGTTAATCAATCTCTGTGGGATGCGCCCAGGTACTCGAGCTCGATTCAGAATTAAGTGTATTAACAACTAAAATTTGTGTAATTGAAGCATGAGCATTTAGCAGCAGCAGGAACCATTTTCGCAACGGCTATTTATCTAATTTTGAATGCTTGCTTCGCTTCAGATGCGACATTGAAACATCGTGGAGGGGTGGAGACGATAAGTGGAGGTCATATTGGGTGCAGACCCGAACATCGAGTCGCCCCGCCTCCAAACGCCTTATCAGCTATGATTACCTCAAAAGCACAGATCACGATAATTTTGAGGTACCCTTTTTATGTTGAAGAGAGGAAGTATTATTGGAGAACATTGGTGGCGAAGAAAGCAAGAAAATCCGCGGAAAACATGAAGTTTAAGGATTTTCAAAGGTAATGAAGCAGAGCATTCTACGATATTACCATGACAGAATAGGCACAGAGCAGGTATTTGGACGAGATTTCATTCGGTGCAATAGTGTAAAGATCAGCCTACAGTAAGAATTCCAAAAATCGTCTTGTACTGCCGCAATGAGTCACGACAAGCTGCTTGAATTTTCAATGTAAATGCCATAGGGAATGCTGCTGTCTCTACAGCGCCGATAAAACCTTTGGGTGGACGTCGACAAAACCAAGCTCTGAGCCCTACATAGGTCATTAAGAAGACCTAAGAAGATCCCAGAGCGCTGCATAAGGCACACGCGGAGGCCATAGAATTGTCCTCGTTGGAGAAAGCACTCGGGAACCCTTATTTCATGAACGCTCACGAAAGTATGTCGCATCTGTCAAAAGTACGACCTATCAACCCACACCAAGATCTAGAATGTGCATCATTAGGACCCACACTCGTCTCTGTAGCGAATAAGCACTAAACTAGGCTCTTCACCAGATTTTTAATGTATTAAAGATGGGGGTGTATCATTCCTTTCAATCAGAGGTCTTTCAAAGAAGTCTAATTTCGGCCTCACGGTCACCACAGAATCGCGTGACGCCCTGCCAGCATGGTAACTCTGAGCACCCACCTCCTACCCATCCTGCTGAGCTCAACTCATATTTTTTTCCAGGTGACGCATTTTGAGAAGCGAAAGCGTGAGCATCCTTCAGGACCTGATGATCTCAATCGAAAAGTATATTACGTTATCTTAAACTTGACTATCTAGCGCATCGAGGTCGACTACATGATTGGCGAGACTGACACCCCTTGCTTCCGCACACGCTGGCCAATCTAGCCATAACACGACGTATTGATGCACTTGAGATTAATGTCAAAAACGTCAGCCTTTATTCTATTGTAAAAAGTCGCTAAAAAAGCAAAATTACCTTCGGTCGAGTTTGTGCTGAAGGGAAATTTCCCGAAGCCAGCTGCTAATGCTTGATATAGGCGCACAACATCTTGCGGCGTATTCACGCGAGGTCGAGTATGCATGTAAAGCGTGATGAAAATGCTTTATGCACCAAAAAAGCCTATTATTAAAAAGGCTCATATTTTTCAAAGCGTATTAACTCGCGTAACGTGAAAAAGGCTCCATGGATTCACCGCAATACCTCCGTTTTTTCTACGAGTGTTTTCAACATAGCATTCCCTCAGAACTAACCATTGTGATCATGGAAAACCAGTCTATTTTGAGAAATGAAAAAGGACAGCCCCCCATCCCCACAGTGGTCGCTCTGGAAACTTTAAAAAGATTTTAATGAGCTCCTACCATACCTTACGTTTTTCTGATCGAGCTGGTGGGACAGCTGAATGCCGATATCACCTGCACGCTTCAGAGCATTGATCAGTGTATTGTTTCCTAAACTAGCCGAAAGTCGTTCAGGTTCCCAGGTATTGATTAATGGTTGATTTACAAAAGGGCGACAAGAGATTGTACAATCACTGGCTTTGGTGGGCATTGTGTAGGTCTAGAGCCCATTCAAAAGATCCCAAAACCTCAAACCCGGAAAGAAGTCGAATGCGTAATGCCTTACAGAAAGGCGCAAGGGAAGTATTTGCGCACTTCGAGGCTACCTCATCAAAAAGTTATTGTCCGATTCGCTCCCGAACGTTCCCCATGTGGAACACATCTGGTTGCAGCAGCCATTGACAATTGCAAAAGTTTCTGAGCGGAGGAGATGTCTTCACGTACAGAGATCTTTTCATTTCTTTAGTGTAATAATTATTGTTCAATGGATTGGAAGTAACTCAGAGGCGGGAGAAGAGCATTTGTTCAACAGAAAAAGTTCAGAATTCGAAAATCTTTCATCGGGTCAGTTAGTTGTAGTCTATCGAACCTAATCACCCCAAATATTCGAGAAGGTATGAGCGTGACTGGACCTTCATTTGGCAGACGCTGTCCCAGCCTCACTACGAGCTCCATGTTTCTAGGAGGATTTCGGAGGTAAGGGGAGACGGGCAGTAGGAACGAAGTTGTCGCACCACACCCCGGAGCTAAGGCGTAGCATCCACCACTTCAAGCTCAAAGTTTTCCGACTATTGGAGTGGTGAGCGATTCTAAATTATTTCTCAACTTTGCACTACTTCTTGAGGTAAGGAAGCTACAGATTTGTTCGCGAATTTCACTGGAGGATTAGCTCATTAACAATAATTTTAGGGACAGGAAGCTGCGAGCAAAGGCAGAATATTGTCAGTTCCTTAACAAGTCAACAAAAACGAAGTTTAGCGATACCATTGGAGGAAATAAACGAAAAACAAAAACAAAGAAGAATAAGTAGAAGCAGAACATTCCTACAGGGAAATGACATGAAAACATAATTTCGAAGGAACTGGGATTTTTAAAAGAAATAAGCGGTGTAGATGCTTCATAACATTCTTTACGTCATAATCGCCGATTCTTGGGTAGCTGGGTGGCTGGGTGAATCTTTTGGGATGAACGGAGGCGGTAAATGGTAAGCACGTTGCTTCCAGGAAGACATCCAGAAATAGTTTTGGAGGGCTAAATCCGAGAAGTTGGGCATCCCAAAGGAATCAATCAGCTGCAAACCCCTTTATTCACGACATCCGTTTTCGAAAACAACCTCATTCAATGGGCAAATAAAAGGAGAGCAATGTTTTCAGCTTTGTCACCAGCATTGAACGGCTTATGTTCGTTCACTGAACAGATGGATCTAATTAAGGAGGTTCGTCAAACCTTCGCCAAAACACTGAATGCCCCTTCCTAGCGGACCACACTACTACAACTAAAGTCAGCGGGTACAACGGACACTACTCTGAACCCCTTACTTTTGACATGTGTTTTTTACTTGTATTCCTCCCAGATTCAGTATTATTCTATAAATCAAACGTGAAATTGGTCTTTAAAAGATTTCGTCATAA